GAATATCATGTTTGGTAAGGTGAAGGGTCAGAGCAAAAGAGGAAGACCCCCAATGAGATGGTTTGGCCAGGTGGCAGCATCGATGGACTCAAGTGTGGCAACAGTAGTGAGGCTGACCCAGGATTGGGCAGTATTTCGTTCTGCTGTGCATAGGGTCGATTTGATAGCACCTAACAACAACAACAAAAACAACAACAACAAGAGAACTATGCAAATGTATAGCCAAAGGAAAGAAGCCATTTCCCCTGCCTGCGTTTGCTATGTGTGGGTTCACAATAAGAAGAGTTCCGTGACACAAGGGATTGGGTCCGAGATAATAAAACAATTGAGATGAGATAAACAACAGACTTCAGAAGAAAGGAAACCGATTGGGGCCCCAAACCACACCTTTTCATATTTAATACACAAGTTAGAAAAGACATTGATGACAAATGAATAATTATCAGGGAGGAACGGCAAAGTGGACACAGAGGGAAAAGATACAATGGCGAGAGCGAGTAGCGAGAAGTATGGTGGGGTTAGAGGTCAAAGATAAATCAGCCAAAGAATAATGGGTAACCCTAAAGTTCAGATTCCAACTGTTCTATTGTTGTTGTTGTTGTTGTTATGTGCCGTGGAGTCGGAACCGACTCATAGCGACCCTGTACAGGGTTTCCGAGGGTGTAAATCTTTACGGGAGTAGAAAGCCTCATCTTTCTCCCGTGGAGCAGCTGGTAGTTTTGAGCTGCTGACCTTGCGGTTCACAGCCCGAGACGGGAAAATTCTCTGGGGTGAACTGTGTGTGAAGCTTGAAAAGATAACCCACATGACAGTGATATTGAACAATGTAACCCTAAATAGTTCCCAGGTAAGTGAGTACCCGTCACAAAGACTCTTGGAACCAGGCCATCAGATTAGGTGAGCCACCTACAGAGGGCTGACCTCAGTCATAGCCAGAGTCAAAGACACTAAGACAACGTGTAGAGAATGCAGACAGAAGAGGGCAAAGGCTACAACCATGCTGACATTCAAGAAAAAAAGGTAGACTTCCTCCTCTGACCAGGAGGGAGTACCTGGGCTCAGATTCACTCTCCAGCTTTTTTTAAACAAAACTGAGCGAAGTAGAGAGAAAACATAGGAAAGGAACAGCTTCTAGACACCTGGAATCAGGCAGAGTAGGGCTGTAATGCCTGTGAGATTCTAATGAGGGGAGACTCACACTTAACCCAAAGAGTTTCCAAGAAGGGGGTTTCGAGGCTACAGTGCCGTCATCAGAAAGCCCAAACCCTCTCCCACTGAGTTGATTTTAACTCACAGTGTTCCTAAAGAACAGAATAGGACTGTCTGACAGGTTCTGCAAGGGTCTAGTCTTTACGGGAGCAGGCTGCCACGCATTTCTCCCTTGGAGGGCTGTGGATTCATACCAACAACCTTTGGTTACCAGCTGGATGCTTTAACCACTGTGCCACCAGGGTTTCTTGCAGTGCAAAAGCGTGGACCAGAGAGACTGATGGTTTCATGGAGTCTGCAAGAACGAGGTCAGACTCTGAGGAGGTCAAGGTGGCCTCTAGCCGTCAAGTCTTCTTCTGGGGGGTGGGTAGTGGGGTGCACCTTACCTGCATCATCTAGCAGCAATTTCAGTAAGACTCCCCACTTCCAGAAATCCACGCACAGAAACCATCAGAGATGTGAACAGACATTTAGGTATAAGAATACCATGCACTGTTCCTTTTCAATAAGAGCTTAAAACCCCAACCAGAAATGCTCACCACAGTGGAACACATGTGTGTTTGTCTGCAGTCATTTATGCAACACATAGTTGCTGAATGCTCTTTTGGTACCTGGCTCTTTGACGTATCCTGGGAACCCAAGGGTGAGCAAAACAAACCAGTCTGGCTGCTCTGACAGACAACCAGCTATTCCAATAACGAAACCAGCTGCCAGTCAAGAGAAAGGAGTTCAGGTGTTACTGTGGGTTAGGGGCTGGGCTGCTACCACCAAGTCAGAAGAGAAGGATTAGCGAGGCTGTTTGTTCTTATAAAGATTGACAGAAACCCTATACAGGGTTGTTATGAGTCCGAATGGACTCGGTGGCAGTAGGATGCTAACGTATGTAGACAGTATTGCTTTATAATCAGACACAGCATACGTTAAAGGAGAGTGCAAACCCTGTAGCCATCTAGTCATCAACTCCAGAAATGAGCTGCTTATCAAATGGGAGAGTTACTCTGAGGTCCAGAAATGTTCACTGCTAAACTGTTAGCCAAGGAGCTCTGGTAGCGTAGTGGTTACAAATCGGGCTGCTAACCTCAAGGTTGGCAGTTTGAAACTACCAGCCATTCCACGGGAGAAAGATGAGGCTTTCTGCTCCCATAGAGATTGACAGCTTCAGAAACCTTGTACAGGGTCACTATGAGTCAGAAGCAACTTCACGGTACTTAACAACAACAAACTGTTTAGCCAATTTGAGAGGTAAGGAGGGTTAAAGACAGAATACAACAATGTTCAAAATAACGTCCCTCAGAGTAGAAAAGAGAAATGAAGATGAAACCTCTCAAGTTATCATTTAAATAATGTGCAAATTTGAAAGACGCCTTTCCAATCAGCTCTAACAATAAGGAGGGGAAAGAGGATTAAACCTTTTACTTTCTATTCTATGGTACTTTTGCCAAAGGATAGACTCCTTCGGCTTTTCTTTAGGAAGTTGTTGTTAAGTGCTATCGAGACATTTCTGGCTCATAGCGATCCTGTATAGGGCATCCAAGAAGTGACTGGTGGGTTTGAACTGCTGACCCTGTCATTAGCAGTCCAGTGCTGATCCTACAGCGCCACACCAGGATTCTGTCTTTAGGAAGAGTTGTGTCAACTCACTAGCCAGAAAAGCAATTATTGAAAGAGTGGGATTTTATATTAGAATCAGCGACTTTCTGGGGTCATTGTTTCTGTTAAGTGACGTTGAGTCAATTGTGACTCTTAGCGACCCCGTATTGGGTTTCCAAGGCATTAAATCTTCACGGGAGCAGGAAGGTTCATCTCTGTCTTGTGGAGCAGCTGGCAAGTATGAACTGCAGAACTTGTGGTTCGCAGTTCAGTGCTTAGTGTTTGGAGTCATCGTGTACACCACATACGGGGGTAAGACTCTCAAACCCCTCGCCTCCCACCCCATTCCTTTAGGAGTTATAGACTTGTTCTAGCTTGGTTGGTTGAACCTGTATTCACACACTTGACAAAGAGGTTATAAATTAATTATGTGATTGAGGAAGTTGTTGGTTAACACCAAGCCTAGCCCCTCCATCTTGCTGATTGGCCATCACCATAACAACCCTCCTCCACTGTAGGCCGAAGTTCATCTGCTATAAATCTTTCTGAGTGTGTCATGGTCATAGTGCAATGTTCATTAGCATCACCCTCCCAAGGAGGAAGGGTTTTATATTTTACAACAAAATACTCGACTTCATTTCGATTTACTGGGCTCAGTATAAGGTCCCCAAATCGTTTTTGACGATCCTTAGTTTTTGCCCCCTAGTGAACTTCTTTTCCTGAGAAAATGCCTACAAAGAAGAAAATGCTCATGTTCTTATCGAGCTTTGTCGCAAGCCTTGGGTCTTTCGTTGTCATTTGTTCCATTCTTGGAACACAGGCCTGGATAAGCAGCACGCTGAGCATCCATGACGACACTTTAAACGGAAGAGTGATCATCTCTTATGGGCTTTTCCGTGGTAAGAGTATTCAAGAATTGGATCATGGACTGGCAGAATCAGACAAAGATTTTGAAGGTAAATGATAGAATAATTTGATGAATAGGGTAAGAGTGACTAACTGGGTTACAGTCATGAAATCCGAGGTTTGGGCCAAATAACCATTCAATGGTGGTTGTCGCTCAAGCTTTGAATTAGGCAGTAGGTGTGGACAGACTTTTTTTCATTCTGAAAACTCACCATCTCATTATTTCTGCTTCCTCGGTTTTGGCTTTGTCTGTCTATGTAACAGTTTAAATAATTTTAGCAGTGGCTTTGCTTAAATGTAATACCTACCCAGGTTATTGACAAGTAAATAATTAAGTAAAAATAGGTCGTAGCCATATGGCACGTAGCAATCAATAAAAACAATGTTCTTTCTGGCTTTTAGTTGATGCATCCACCTCTGTCCTGACTTCATTAGCAGTATGTGTGTAGGGGAAGAAAAAAGTGGAAATAATGGCCAATTTCTTGTTACTATATTTTAAGCTCATTTCTTTAACCGATTTGGATTTGCATTCTTATTGCCAAAGTACCTTATTGTTATTAGACTTGATATTATATTTTCATTTGTTGTACTAACTGTGTATTTTACAAGAGTTTCCATTTTTTAAATTTCTTTTGATGTTTGAGTATATATCATTGCCTTTTAAATTTAAAAACAACTCACAAATGATTTAAAACTGAATTTGAATTCTTTAGAATCCAGGGATAAAAAATATATACTGTATTCAGTAGACTTGGCTTTGGACAGGTGTTACATACAGGCGTTGCTGAGACGGTTCCAACTCATAGCTACCGTACGTCCAACAGAGCGAAACACTGCCCTGGCCTACACCATCCTCACAATCATCCCTATGTTTGAGCCCTTGGTTCAGCCACTGTGTCAACCCATCTCGATGAGGGTCTTCCTCTTTCTCACTCTCTCCCAAGTATGGCATCCTTCTCCAGGGACTGCTCTCTCCTGACAACACGCCCAAAGTATGTGAGATGAATTCTTGTCAGCCTCACTTCTAAGGAGCATTCTGGGTATTCTTCTAACAGGATTTAGACAGGCTTTATTAAGTCCTGTGTAGCCATTGGAGTCTCTGGGTGGTGTAATGGTTAACATATTCAGCTGCTAACTGAAAGGTTGAGGTTCCAGAAGAACCTCCAAAGAAAGGGATGGTGATCTACTTGTGAAACATCAGCCAGGGAAGAGCCTGTGGAGGTTCGGACCCACGTGAGGTTACTATGAGTCAGCGTTGACTCAGTGGTGCCTGCTAGGTCACTGCAGATGCATGACCTCATTGGTCCATGCATCCTCTCCCATTGTCTTAGATAGGGAAAGTCTGGATGGTGCTGTGGGATAAGCACTGGACAGCTTACCACAAGGTCAGTGAGCCAGACCCACTGGCCATTCCTCAAAAACCCTATGCAGGATCTCTATGAGTTGAAACCATCTTGACGTTGTTTAATAGTAACAAAACAACAACAATAACAATTATTTTTAAATTACCAAAAAAGTATTTAGTAATGTGCAAAACCTGCAGAGTGTTTGAATTCCATAGTGTCTATCCCCATTGAGTTTTGAGAAGGATGACTTCAGGGGAAGACTTACCTCTAGTCAAGGGAAGCCCTGAGCAAAGCAAGTGAGGTCTGACCTGGTGCTCACGTCTGATGCAAATGGTGTAGTCGGACAGGGGCCTCAAAGGGGCAGTGATGAGCACAGTATGCAGGGACAGGGCCCAGGAGCGCTGTGACCCATGGCGGGGAGCACAAAGGTAGCAAGATGTTTGCATTTTTTACATTGACTAGACTTTCGTCTTTGTTACTCTGGAGGCTCACGCCAGCCTGAGGGCCCTGGAGCCACGTGAGCCACCTGGTCAGTCAAGGTGCTGGACAGCTATCCTGGCTGACCTCTGCTGAGGAGTGTTTGTGTACTGCTGAGTTGATTCCCATTCATAGTGGCCCCATGTGACAGACTAAAACTACCCATAGTCTTTCTCCTACAGACAGCCGGTGGGCTTGAACTGCTGACCTTTTGGTTAGCAGCCAAGTGCTAAACAGCTACACCATCAGGACACTTCTCTGAGTCTAAAAACAAAACCCCCTAACCAAACCCATTTCCCTCACGTTGATTCCAAGTCACAGAAACTCCATAGGAGAGAATGGAACTGCTCTGTAGGCTACCCAAGGCTGTCACCTTTACAGAAGCAGACTGCTGCATCCTACTCCTGAGGAGCATCTGATGGGTTCAAACCACCAACCTTTTAGCTGGTAGTTGGTCACTGATCCACTGAGCCACCAGGGTTGTGGAATTGGTTCCGACTCATAGCAATTCCAGGTAGGGTTTCCCAGGAAAGCTGGTGGGTTTGAACTGCCGATCTTGAGGTTATCAGTACAGAGTTTAATCCTACAGTGCCAATGCAAGGTAGTCTTTATTGCAGACTACCTGTAGTCTTTCTTGAGCATGGAAAACTTGTAACCAACTGTTTTAGATAGGGAAAGTCATGTTGATGGAAAATAGATCATGTGGTGTTGAGATGCGTAAGGCCCCGGATATTTTTGTGGGTCTCATTTCCAAGCAGAAGCCAGCCATGGGCTGAGCAATAAAGCACTTGGAATACAGCTGTCCTGTCAGACTGCAGGCTTCTGTCTGAGAAACTCACCATGCCAGCCTCTTGGCTGTTAGGTACCATGGAGTCAGTCCTGACTCACAATGACCGGATGCATAATAGAATGAAACACTGCCCGCTCCTGCTCTATCCTCACAAGAGCTGTTAAACTCCAGCCTATTGCTGCGGCCACTGTGTCAGTCCATCTCGTTGGGGGTCTTCCTCTTTTTTGCTGACCCTCCACTACACCAGGCATGATGTCCTTCTACAAGGACTGATCCCTCCTAATAACCTGACTCCAAAGGTATGAGAGAAAAATTCTCCCCATCCTGACTTCTAAGGTGCATTCTGATTGTACTTCTTCCAACACAGATTTATTTGTTCTTGTAGCAGGCCATGCATGGTATTTTCAGTAATTTTCTCTTGCACCATAACTCAAATGTATCAATTCTTCTATGGTCTTCCTTATTCATCGTCCTCTTGCCTAGGGAGAGGCTATGCTAGAAATGCCCTGAGAGTAATGAGTATTGAAAAGTTCTGTTACCTTTTTGTAAAGATTTGTGATGTTGTGGTGCTGATGTTGGAATGTAAGAACGGAATGAGGTGACAAAAGCTAATTACTCAGTGCCAACATAACTCAGGACTTCTGGTGTGGCACTGTGGGTTAATGTGCTGGGTTAAAGGTTGGCGGCTCCAGCTCCTCAGAAACCCTATACAGGGTCACTATGGGTCGCTATGGGTCTCTATGGGTTGGAACTCGACGTCACTTAACAACAACAGCAACAACAAACATAACTCAGTCAGAAATGAATCAATTTGGTGGGGAGAAAACAACCAATCAAAGTTGTTAAGGAATTCTCCAGATTGCTTGGTCAGTTCTGGCTGACCAGGGCATTTACCAGCGTTGCTGAGATGCAGTCCAGTTTGTCTAGCCTCAGGATGAGGAGTAACAGGTCCTGTAAGTCAGCCAATGTGCATGTTGCCTTGGTGACCCCATAAATTCTAGATGTCTAATGTCAGTTGGAGTCCTGGTGTGGCACTGTGGGTTAATGTGTCAGATTGCAAAGCCGTTTGAACTGTAAGGTTGGCAGTTCAAGCTCACCTGATGTTCCTCGGAAATGCTATACAGGGTCGCTATGGGTCGGAACCGACTTGACAGCACTTAGCTGCAACAATGCCATTTGCTAAGTGGCGAGTGAGGGCCTTGGGTATGGAGTGGAATAGCACAGAGCTCCCGGCTTTGGTGGCTTTTTTGTCTAGTCAGAGAGAAAGGTTCTACATCACTGGGTGCAGGTGCAGAGGCGTGGACAGGTGAGCGCACGTGTGGGCGTGGATGTGTGCAAAGACTCCTTGAGCTACCGATCGTTGGGGCAGAATCTTTTTTAATGCTTTATTGTGAATTACGTGATAGCTCACATGGGAGAACATTAGCTTTACATTCATCCTATGGTTACAATCCCCTCCATTCATCATCAACCAACCAAAGGGTATACCCTGCTCCTTGGTGGTCAGCACACAGCCCCTCTCCCTCTCTGGGTTTAGAGTTGGGGCAGAATCTTGAAGATGATTTTGTGTAAAGGGTTAGCACACTTGACTACAAACCAAGAGATTGGCAGTTCGAGCCCATTCAGAGGTACCTCCGAAGAAAGATCTGCTGTGGCCCTGGCATTCCCTGGTGATCCATTATAGGTGGTCCCACGTGGCCAGGCACTGGCTGACGCTTGGTGGTGTTGGTAGTGTTCAGAACCCCTGGGCTGTGGCCTGCTGGGAGAAGAAATGATCTAGAGGAGAAAGCAAGCCACACAATCTTGCCTTGTTCCCAGGCTTCAAGGTGGGCAGAGGACACTCTCTTCCCCAAGACAATCCTGACACATGCGCAAGAGGCTGGAGCTGGCTGCAGGGACCTCCTGGTAGGTAGAGTTAATGAGCTGCGTCAAGGATGGTGTGGTCCCAGACCGAGCAGCTGTTTAGGGACCAGGTGTTCCCACCAAGATAGAAGAGCCAGGAGTGGAGTGCATTCTTTGGACCTGGAGAACCTGCTCTATGAAACTCCTGGATCCAGAAGAAGACAGATGCCAAGATGTGTGGAGCTCTCCAAGGAATGCTGGGCCCACAGATGCTAAAGGAGACAAAGACCTTCCCTCCGAGCCGACAAAGAGAGAAAGCCTTTCCCTAGAGTGTGCACTTTGAATTGGAACTTCTAACCTCTTAAACTATTAAAGCCATCTACTTGTGATATTTCTGTTGTAGCACCACACTGGACTGCCAACAGTTAGGTCAGTGGTTCAAGTCCACCAGCTGATCCTTGGTCACTATGAATCAGAACCGACTCAATGGCACTTAACAACAAGATCACTAAGACAGGAGGGTTGAGATAGTCCACCCCACCCACAGAGTCACCAGCATCATTTTCCAGAAAACAGAGCCTTCTTGGATGTGCTG